CACAATGGGTTCTTAAACTGGACCGGGGGCCTGAACAAAAGCATGGATGGAGTGTTTGTGTGAACTAATATAAATTCAAAGTATAAAAGGGTACGGTCTTTTTTTTTTTTTAAGTTTTATTCATTTCAAATGGGCCGGATCCGGCCCGCGGGCCATAGTTTGCCCACGGCTGGTCTAGAGGGAATACTTTACTCAGAGCTCTAAATCCAATAACTTTTTTGCTCGTAATTTTCCTTTGAACTATCTGGGCATATCTACACCCATTATTAGAAAACACAATATTTAAGAGAATTTTCCTGTCTTAGGGAAAATTTCAATGCCTCTCATTTAATAGAAGTCAAAACCATTTAATGTGTCAGAATCCCCTTAAAATGAGTCATCACGGTTGGTAACCAGGAGCAACTATCAGTTTACCAATTTTCCCCAACCTTTCCTAGGTAGATACATCCGACCTAGAACATCGTAACTTGAGCTGTGTGCCTTTGTTGTTGGAAAGCAGCTCTGAGGGTCAGTGTTAGGGTGATGGTCCTGCCCAGAGTCTGCGTCTAGACTGGCCAAGGGTCCTCAGGTCCGTTAGCTACAGTGCAGGTGGGCGGTGTCGGGGGAGGCCCTGGAGGCCCGCGGAGCAGCGGGCAGCTGAGCGCCGAGCTCCCCGCAGGCCTGGGCTGGCTCTGTGGTCAGTGGTGAGGGTAAGGGCAGAAACGGAAACCCTCTGTCAGGCAGCCACCAGCCACCAGCAAAGCCAGCAAGTGGCACTTTTTCGGTTTTGAAATTTCTAACCCTATTTATTTATTTATTTATTTATTTTTTAAATATATTTTATTGATTTTTTACAGAGAGGAAGGGAGAGAGATAGAGAGTTAGAAACATCGATGAGAGAGAAACATCGATCAGCTGCCTCCTGCACATCTCCCACTGGGGATGTGCCCGCAACCCAGGTACATGCCCTTGACCGGAATCGAACCCGGGACCTTTCAGTCCGTAGGCCGACGCTCTATCCACTGAGCCAAACCGGTTTCGGCATTGTGCTTTTTAAGAAAATATTTTTTTGCTTCTGTAATGCTATACAGTATGGATATTTGAAACTGTTTTCTGATATTATTCCCTGCATTGTGTTGCAAATTTCTCAGTGTTGTGGGGGAATTAATATGATCTTTTTAAGGAGCATATGCTTTCACTGTAAATCTAAGAAAAAGTTTTTTCTCCCCTGCCTTAAAGGAAACAAGATATCAATTACTTCAGCTTCGACCTGCCCAGAGAGCATCATGGATTGGTTATGCTATTGCTTACCACTTATTAGAAGATTATGAAATGGCAGCAAAGATTTTAGAAGAGTTTAGGAAAACACAACAGGTAACACTTAGAAGCCAGACCTAGTAAACTAGGTCCGATTCTAAATATAACTAAAAGAAAGAAGTGTACAAGAAGAGTATGCAAAGAACTTCCTAGAGGAGTTCACACACATTACTAACTTAATATTTGATACATTTACCTTATAATCTCTATATCTATTTATCTGTTTACAGTTTCTTCTAAAAACATTTGTATTTGCAGACACAATGCTCTTTGACTCCTAAATGTTTCCGTGTGGTATTTCCTAAGAATAACTCTGTAGTTGTGAACTCTATAGGATAGTACTGTGTAGAGTATTTAAAAATTAGGAAACTTAACATTGATAGACTATCTAATCTCTAGCCCATTTATCAATTGTCTATATCCTTTCTAGATTTTTTTTCCTATTTCAGGATCTAGTTTAGAATCATACCTTACATTTGCTTATTATCATTTCTCTTTGGTCTCTTTTAATCTTTGGAAGTTTTGAAGACTTCCTTTGTACTTCATGACATTGGTATTTCTGAAGAATATAGGGTAGTGATTTTTGTAGAATGTCCATCCATTTGGATTTGTTTGGTGGTTCCTCATAATTAGTTATAGTTACGTATTTTTGGCAGGAAACCACAGAGTGTTGTTGAGCCCTTCTCAACTCATCACACTAAGAGGCACATAATGTCTGTCTGTTCCATTTGATCACTTGGATAAGGTGGTATCTATTAGGTTTCTTCACTATAAACTTATTTTTTCTTTGTTATTTTTTTCTCTTGGTGTTAAAACACAATTCGAGACTTTATGGGTAGCCTGTTCATCAAATTTTACATTTATCCACTGGTTTTAGCATTTATCGATTATGATTCTTGCTTGAATCAACTGTTTCAGTGATAGTTGCAAAGTGGTGATTATCTCTTATTCTTCTAGATTCTTTTATTTTTTTAAAATATATTTTATTGGTTTTTCACAGAGAGGAAGGGAGAGGGATAGAGAGCTAGAAACATTGATGAGAGAGAAACATCAATCAGCTGCCTCCTGCACACTCCCCACTGGGGATGTGCCCGCAACCAAGGTACATGCCCTTGACTGGAATCGAACCTGGAACCCTTGAGTCCGCAGGCTGACGCTCTATCCACTGAGCCAAACCGGTTAGGGCTAGATTTATTATTTGACATTCTGCTATTAAGTAAGAGCTTTCCTTTCCCCTTATTTATTTATTATATGTAAGGACTTAGGGATTCTTAGTCAGTGGGTTATAAGTTAATACTGTCATTATTACTTAATTGTTCCCTAGACAGATATTTACTAATTTAAGAAAATTAGTTTTATCAATCAGATTGTGTCCTTAGACTTCTTGTATGTATTTGAGTGTATAAACAGTTTTCTAATATGAAAACAAAATTCTTAACTGTTAATATTCCTTATATCCATAATAGACATCCCCTGATAAAGTGGATTATGAATATAGTGAACTCCTTTTATATCAGAATCAAGTTCTTCGGGAAGCAGGTCTCTATAGAGAAGCCCTGGAACACCTTTGTACCTATGAAAAGCAGATTTGTGATAAACTTGCTGTAGAAGAAACCAAAGGTATTTTTTTTTTAAAGAATATCATTTATTCTAGCATTTAATTATGACAAGGAGCAAGGTTAAAAATTTAGTTGCTATTGAAAATTGCATGTAATTCAACTTTTTGATGATAGAAAACCTGTTTGAATAATTTTTAACCTGGGAAAATTACATTTAAACAATGAATATTGTTATAGGTAAAAAAATGTTGAACAATAAAAATTATTGAATGAAGTGACTCAAAATATTTTTTCTTTAAATAACATATTTTTGATCTTAAAATATAGGGTGTTGATTAAAAAAAATAGGATGTAATTGCTTAATTTTATATAACATAGGATTAAATTTCTTAGAAATATCTTATTAACAGAACAGGATGTATAAACCAGATTTCTTATATAGCTATATCAGTCTTTACTAAAGTATATATGGCACATTCCTGAAGTTCTTTATAGTTTATCTGGATATAGAAAGAACATGAATTGAAATCAGAAAGTTGGGTTTATATGTGTGGATTGAAATAGGAGGGTAGGGTTTTAAATAAAAATCGTTAATGCTGCCATTTATTATAGGACTGAAAAAAAAAGGAGTCTTATGGTTTTCAGAGTTGAGGAAGTGGTAATGGAAAATGAAAGAATGACAAGTAATTAAAAATACAAGTACTTTCTAGGAATTATCATCTAAAATGTTGCTTTGCCCTTGTTAGTCCAGAGAACTGAAATTTGCTGGTTCCAAATTCCATTGACTCCCCTTGAAGTTGAACACAAGAAAACTGTGGTATCTGTTACATAAAACTGGATGTAGCCATTGTTTGCCTGATGGACTTTGAGCAGATGATATTGCTACTGGCGAGAAAAAAATGGAAATTTAAGGTTCCTGATCCTCAGTTATGAACGAACAGCTCTCTTTCATTTGAGTTGTCATCCCTTAATGGTCTCTTAGTTATAAGGGGAGGAGATTTATGACTTCCTGGGAATATCGCTAGATTGGAAAAAAATAGTTCAAATTCCTTGATTGGCTGGCTCCTAACTAGCTATATGATCAAGGGCAAGTCTTGGGCCTCAGTTTTTTTATGAAAGCACAGGACAAAATACTCTGATACATTATTTCATTTGCTTCTCTTGATAACTTTATTAGTTATAGGGAAACAGTGATGGGTAAAACGGGTTACAGGATCAACAAAATATTTTTATAGCATGTGCTTATGTTTACTTGAGAATGATCTAATAGACAGAATATTTGACACAGTAGAGGGTTTGTGATCTAGTGGATAAGTTAAAGGCTTAGCCTTAAATAACAACACGATTAGTTCATCCCCAGAGATGGTAGAGTATATGGGCAAGTGGATGTGTAAATGTAGCGGGCATTTGGGAGTTCTAATTGCTTTCATTTTCTCAGTAAAATAGGAAACAGAGCCATTGGTTCATTCCATAAAATGTGTTGAATACCTGCAGTGAGTCAGCTATTGGGGACAATATATATAAAGAGAATAGAAAGGAAATGAGTGTAGAATCATCAGTCTTTGGGAATTCCAGTAATAAAGGCATTGTTGTTAATGGTGGCGCGAGGGTGGGGTAGAGGGTAGGTGGGATGTCAGGATAATTTGGGAACTTCCTGGAGTAGGTGAGTGGGCATATAGATAGGCAGAAAGTTTCATTAATTCTTATTCCATCAGTTCCTTTTACAAAGAAAATGTGGGAGAAGATGAAGGGAAGGAAATGTGGATGGGTAGTGTAGGGGAGAAAAGTTGCAGGATATTTTGTATATTCTTAGTGAAGTAGGCTTTTGGTTAATACAAAGCAGACTGTCATTCTCAGCACTTTTGGGATTTTGGGACTGAGATGTTGAGGGTGGAAGTCTCCTTTATGTTACAGAATGTTTAGCAGCATCACTAGCTTCTATTTATCAGATACCATGGCATCACCCCCTCCACCTCCCTTTACTGTGACAACTAAAAATTCTCCAGATATTGCCAAATGTCCCCTGGCTGGCAAAAGTGCCTCTGGTTAGAACCACTGGAATAGGCATTAAGAATATGTGCTCTTTCAGCCAAATTGCTTGGGTTCAAATTCTGACTCCAACATTTAACTAGCTGAATGACCCTCAGCAAGTTATACTTAAGTCCTCTCTGCTTTAAAATGATGAAATTAATGATAACCTAACTCATAGAGTTTTGAGAATTGAGTTAATGTATGTGAAACATTTCAAAGTCACTAACAAAGTAAGCACTCACTAAATGTTTTTTATTATCTGGTGAGAGCAAATGGTGTAAGGATATAGTTATAGTTTGAAAATAATAATTTTGGTCAATAGGAGCTGTCACGTTAAGGATAAGAATTCTGAGTAGTGTTTGAGGCTTATGTGAGTTTGGAGCTCATATATTTGTAGTAAAACCAGTGCCTTTGTCCATTCATCTGATGACTTTGCTTTTTTTGTGTGAGAAGGTGTGGAACAAACAATTTGGGATCATCCAGGCCTTAAATTTCTAAATAAGGGAGCTGAGGTTTGAGACTGATTTTGATACTTGGGGCTGCTAATATCATTCAGGGACAAGATTGGTCGTGCAGCCCAGAGAAGACATGCAGTGAGTCTACGGGTTGCTGAGATGACTTAAAGCAGCGGTCGCCCGTGGACCACCGGGTGGTCCATGAGGTCCGAAAGGTTGACGACCACTGGCCTAAAAAAGAAAGGAGTGGTTTTTCTGTAAGGTTGAAGGATAGGATTAGTGAGACCAGAAGGAGGAAGACAAGTAAGTTCAGCTTAAAGTAAGATGTCTATTTGGTAGTTGGAAACACTAGAAAACACAGGTTTTGGATGTGGCCATGAATATAGGTACTACAGCAGAATAGCTTCATAGTTAAAAGATGATAAATTTAGGGTATTAGATTAGGTCATTAATTTGGATGTTAAATTGTCCATATGATGTCAAGAATAATTAAGTAGTAGTTGATGGGTTTGGTGATTGTGTTCCAATAAATTTGGGAAGTAGCTTGGAGTTAGACAAATATCTGAATAAACTGAAGATGTGATGAGGATGGCATTTCTAAATATGAACTTGGGGAGAGACCATAATATTACATGGTAAATAGTCTTGTTGAAGGGAATTGGGAACTCAGGAGGATACCAAATCCATCCACTTCCCAGCATTGAAGAGATCTTAAAATTTGAGGAAAAAAAGTTATAACCAGAAAATATGTAGTTAACTTCATTTGTGTTTTATCAGGGGAACTTCTGTTGCAATTATGTCGCTTGGAAGATGCAGCTGATGTGTATAGAGGATTACAGGAGAGAAATCCTGAAAACTGGGCCTATTACAAAGGCCTGGAAAAGGCACTCAATCCAGGTAGCATTATTTAAAACTTACTTTCTAAGTTTTAATTGCTTCTTTTGTAATTAACATATATTTAATTAACTCATTCAAAGCATCACTGGAAAAATAGTAGTTAAGAATTGGATCAGAATCTGAATACAAAAGTACATTTGTAAACTTCCATTTAATATGGCAAACAGCATTCTCTGAAAGTGGAAATAAAGGAGGAATCTAAGGTGAGGACAGGGAATTGCAGCCATGAAATATGAATAGTGATGAGAAAGTACCAATTAGGAATCTGGGAAACGAAAAACCTACTTAGTGACTTAAAAAATCTTGATTGAATAAGAGAGGCCACAGCTGAGGGGAGATTAGTGAAGTAGAAGATTGATGAACTGAGGAAAGCTCTCAACTGAGTGTAAAGAAGAAAATACAAAAGAAATAAAGAGAAATGGAAGATAGGGGACAGATCCAGAAGCTCCAAAGTAAATCAGAGGACAGGAGTTAGAAAAGGAGAGGTTGCCCCAGCCAGTGTTGCTCAGTGGTTAGGCATCAACCCATGAACCAAGTGGTCACCAGTTCAATTCCCAGTCAGGGCACATGCCTGGGTTGTGGGTTAGAATCCCCAGTGGGAGGCATACAGGAGGCAGCCCATCAGTGATGTTTCTCTCTCGATGTTTCTATCTCTTTCCCTTCCTCTAAAAGTCAATAAAAACATAAATAAAATACAAGTCAGATCTGGTCATTAAAAAAAAAAAAAGAATAGAGAGGTTGAAGAGAATAGTGGAAGAAGCCATCTATGGAAATAGAATAATTGAGCCATTCTCAGAACTACTGTACAGCAGTCCTCAGATTTTGAAAGGCTGCCTAGAATAGAAGAGGATAAAGAAAGTTAAGTATTTTATATGAGTATAGGTATTTAAAATGTGAAAATATTAGAAGGAAGGAAATATTCTGAAATGATCGTTGATGCATTTAAATGGTTAGATTATAAATAATTTTCTTCCCATCTGCAAATTTTGTTTAATATCATATTTATATACCTTGAGAAATATGTAATTTGTTAGAAATATATAATAGTTATAGTTAAATATAAAAATAATTTTTTTTGTTTGCAGCTAATATGTTAGAACGACTAAAAATTTATGAGGAGGCCTGGACTAAATATCCCAGGGGACTGGTGCCAAGAAGACTGCCATTAAACTTTTTATGTGGTGAGTATAATTGCAAAGGAATGAAAATGATGGTATGATTTATGGTTTCCTTGATTTTAAACATATAAAGGTGCATATTAGTAGGCATTGTTAGAGATGTCTGGGTAATTGTAAGTCAACAGGATTTTTTTCTTCCAAGGTGAGAAGTTTAAGGAATGTTTGGATAAGTTCTTAAGGATGAACTTCAGCAAGGGTTGTCCACCAGTCTTCAATACTTTGAGGTCATTATACAAAGATAAAGAAAAGGTAAAGCAAAATATGACTTTTTTTAAAACTATCATTTCTTTGCTTAGTATTTGGAATAATTGACTCTTGCTTATCTGTGCACATAGTACACATTTTGTGAATCTAGTATCAGTCTTCCTAGCTCATAGTTTAAATGCTCCTGTGCCTCTTCTTTCTTTAGCTAAATAATTTAGTGCTTATTTGTTGTAAGTCAGTGTAGGTATGAAAAGTTGGTAAGGTAGTGATTTCTTCAATATTTTCTCTAATCCCTGCTCATGGTGAAACTCAGAAGTGATTTCTTTTTTTAAACTAAGATTTAGCTCAGTAATCTTTCTCCTTTTTTATTTAGTATAAAAAATTCTGTCAGAAGAGTTTATTTGCTGTCCCAGTAAGCTAACTTACTCTTTTAGCTATATATTACAATATTCAAATGCTTGTTAAGAGGATGTTTTGATCTTAATTTAGATTATTTTGCTTGCAAGTACAGTGGCATCAAGACATGTTGGTTGGATAAAAAAAAATCAGTTACAGTGAAGAATCAGAAAGATGGGACAAATTAAACATGCTAAACACTAACCTAAAGCACATAAGGTACACTTATTTGCCAGTCTTTTGTTGCGAGGCCCAAGGCATGGGCTTTATTGATGACTTTCGCTTTTTTTTCTTGCATAAATCACATTTATAAAATGTGGTCTGTTATTTTCAGTTTGGCTAGAGAACTTGATGATTGCAAAGCAGTTTTAATTGTAGAATTCCTATATATTTTAATGGTATATATGGTTGTTTTATTTAAATCTAAATTGGTTAAAAATACCTAATTTATCCTTGAATCTTTCCACAGTATTCAACTTATAGAAACAGTTCTTTCTTTTTATTCTCATTTCTTAAGTTTACATAATATTAAATTAAATTTTGCAATGATGATAATAAATGCAACTGATTCAAACAGGTTTGGGAAAACAAAACTTAGTAAGCATGTAGCTCAACTTGTGGGAGCAGAAGAACATGGGCGCACCAGAATAACCTAGCTGTGGCCATTCAGTCGTCACAGTTTTCTGAGGTAATGGAGAGAGCTGGTGTTAATCTGTTGGATCAGTTAAGTTGAGGTCATTAAAGAGAGCTTCTGTAGTAATAGAAGTCCATTTAATAAATTAAAAGTATTCACAGATTTCTTAGGAAGCTAGGAACAAGTAGTATAGTCATGACTCAGGAGAAGCCGGAAGAACATGGACACCCACCCACTCTCCTGGACCTCAGAAACCCATCTACTGTTCCATGTTGATTTTTATTAATGCTTTCCTCCGGATTATGAAATTGAAAGTTAATGCTATCAATTACTTACAGAATTTCTCATTTCACATAGTATTTAATTTTGATTTCTGAAGAATAAATGCTAATTTGGGTTTTATTTATATGGATTGAGATAAAAATCATCCACAACATTATCTCTTTTTGTCCAACCTTTTCCTGATTTCTAGTTCAATTTGATACTTTATTTTCTAGCAGGGAAAGGAGTTGCCAGTAAGTTTTTTAAAAGTTATGTCTTATACATAAGACATGTATGGTTTACTTGCTTTTAAGCTTTTAAAAAATATATTTTTATTGATTTTAGAGAGAGAGGAAGGGAGAGGGAGAGAGAGATGGAAACATTGATTGGCTGCTTCCTTCATGCCTCCTACCGGAGATCAAACTGGTGACCTCTTGGTGCATGGGGTGATAACCAATTGAGCCACACTGGCCGGGGACTTGCTTTTAAATTTTTATCCATAGATTAAGAGATTTATAAAAGTGTGTGTGAATGTTTATGTAGCCCTTTAATAGTAAATGACACATTCTGCACAGAAATAGTATATATATATGACATATATACATGACATATATATATATAAAATATATATATATGCATTTTTTTACTAAACTGTGCTTGTGTATTTGTACTCTAGGTGGCAATCATAGAAGAATTAGTAGTAGGTTATGAAACCTCTCTAAAAAGCTGCCGGTTATTTAACCCCAATGGTAAGTTTTGGTTTTAAAAATATCTTGAAATTTTTAATGTACTGTGAAATTCTTAATTAGAAGGTCATTACTGTTCCTTATTTAGGCAATAAGTTTAGTATATTTAAATGTTTTTCCCCTTTAAGCTAGAGATGCATTAATCTAAACATTGTATGAAAATATTTGGAAGGAAGAAAATCACATTAGCTTATTTAAACACATTTTATGTAAAATTAAAAACATCTCCAAAATAGGTGTAATAATATAATGATTATCCATTTATCCACCACCCAGCTCCAGTAATTTTTATCTCCTGGCCAAACTTTTTTCATTTATATTCTTACCTATTTCCTTCTACTGCCATGTTATTATGAAGCAAATCCCAAACATCACATAATTTCATTGATGAATTATTTTAATATTCTAAAGATCATGGCCATAGTATCATCACCACACCTGAACATTAATATTTCCTTAATATCAAAGAAAAAAAGGTCCATGCTTACATTTCCAGTTATCTTAGACACATCATTTTTTTTTTCTTTTTGTTTTTCATGTTAGTTTGAATGAAGCTCCAGATGAATTCTGTACTTTGAATTTGGTTGATATGTCTCTTTTTTAAAAAAAATATATTTTTATTAATTTCAGAGAGGAAGGGAGAGAGAGAAACAGAGAAGTTCATGGATCGGCTGCCTCCTACACGCCCCCCACTGAGGATGGAGCCCACAATCTGGGCATGTGCCCTTGACCAGAATCGAACCCAGGACCCCTCAGTCCGCAGGCTGACACTCTATCCACTGAGCCAAACCGGCCAGGGCTGTTAATATGTCTCTTAACTCTCTTTTATTCTATAGGCTTTTCTTCTATCTTCTCTTCTTCCTGTAACTTGTTTGTTAAAGAAATCAGATATGCTTGAGTTTTTCTACAGTCTGGCTATAAAAAATTAAAAATTCAATTCCTCAGTTGCAATAGCCTCATTTTAAATGCTGCTCAATAGCCATCTGAAGTGACTGCCTACCATATTGGACAGGGCAGATACAGGACATGTCCATCATCACAGAAACTTATAATAGACAGAGGCTTGATGAGATTTAAAGTTTGGGGGGGAGGGGGGCGTTTGCTTTTGTTTTGTTTTTATCAGAGCAGTGAGCAGGATTATTTCATGGGTGGTGGTATGTTCTTCCATCAAGAGACATGTAGTATTTGTTATACATGTTAGCAACTGGTAGAAATTATAAACTTTATATTCTATCATTCATTTTTGTTACCTTAAAAGAAATTTTTTCGATCTATTTGTGCTTATCCAATATTTCATTATGCATAGGAAAAACAAGATGCATGCTGCTTTTTCTCCCTGCCTCTTCTACCTTTTTTTCCCCCCGTTTTTTACCAGTTTTCAAAATAATGAATTGGGTTACTAACATCCTTCAAATATGGCTAGTACATGTTTTAAAGGTATTATGAATTCCTGGATTTAAACATATTTGCTGTTTTAAGTCTTTGCAATTTCAAAATATATTTTTATTGATTTCAGAGAGGAAAGGAGAGGGAAAGAAAGATAGGAACATCAAGGATGAGAGAGAATCATTGATTATTTGCCTCCTACACACCCCTTACTGAGGATCAAGCCCACAACCGGGGCATGTGCCCTTGACTGGAATCGAACCCAGGGACCTTCAGTCTACAGGCTGATGCTCTTATCCACTGAGCCAAATCAGCTGGGGCAAGTCATTGCAGTTTCAGTGGTTCCAGCCTTCTTATACCATGGTAGTAGTTGATAGCTTCCTTGCAATTTTCTTTTTCCAGTTTATCTTGTACACTGTCCATAATGGACCTGGAATCAATTGTTTTTTCCCAAGGAGCCCTGGTTCTTGCAGTGGGAAAACCCAGTATGGGAACTGGGATGCTCATTGCTGTTGGTTTGATCATAATTTCTAGGTCTCAGGTTAATTTTAATACTATTTAGAAGGCGTTGCCATGGTTTCATTGGTTAATCATCATAATATTCCTTTGATTATCAGCATTTTTCTACATATTTTACAAATGTGGAAGAGGTTCAATGAAATGCCCAAGAATATGCAGCATTTAGTTGCAGATCTATCATATCGGGAGTTGGTGAGTTCCACTCCTATTGTTTGTCCACTGAGCCATCCTACTTTTACCAGGAAAAAAATAAGCAATCTGTTGCTTTCTTCGAAAGCAAAGAACAATTCTCTGATTTTAGAAATTTGTGTTATAAAAAGCACTTTTTAATGTGTGGGTTGTGTATTTAACTTACACATTTTCTTATGAGTATATAAAAATTAAATTATGAAATAGAATAAGTATTTTTACTTATCTTTTTTTGGGGGTATAGTTTTTATTCTGCCCCAATTATGAATTGTTGCATATTCACCATAATATTAAAATATATTAAGAATATTATAATCACCAGAATTTAAAATAACCACATCATAAATATATATATATATGTATAGTTTAGTACATAGTGAGAAAACCAATTAAACAGTTGGCCTTGTTCTTTTTTTTTTTTTTAACTTCACATTAATGGAAAATTTCTTTTGCCTTTTTTCTTTTCTCATATATAAATTCCTGATCAATACACTCATAGTTCTAGTACAACTTGTCTTTCCCCACCCCTTTCAGTTTCCTTTAGGTAATATATATTTGATTTCATTTACCCACCATGTTTATTATGTAAAGTTCTTACTAAATGCAAGGCATTGGGCAGGAGGTGCTGTAGTGATACAAAATAGAAAGTGTGATCCCATCCAAAGATCTTATACTAGTACATTTAGGGGTAATTTTACAGCTAGCTACATAAGTGACATGGTTCAAACTACTTTCTTTATTAATAAAGATAGAATGCCCATTTTGAGGTGGGTATCCTCTTGATATATCTATATCTATATATCTATATATATCTATATCTATATATATATATCTATATATATATATATAGATATATATATAAATAAATAATATGTATATGTATAATGACTAATCTTGGTTTCTTTCCTCTTCCACCTGCTTCCCCTACTTTTTAAAGATGATGGAAAAGAGGAACCGCCAACCACATTACTTTGGGTTCAGTACTACTTGGCACAACATTATGACAAAATTGGTCAGCCACCTATCGCTCTTGAATACATAAATACCGCTATTGAAAGTACACCTACGTTGATAGAACTCTTTCTTGTGAAAGCTAAAATCTATAAGGTAAAAATCTATTCCTTTTTTTTTTCTTATAGAGTAATGAGACTTAGAAATTTTTTTTCTATATTTTATTGATTCTTAGTGCTATAAGAACAATAACTGACTATTTGACAGCTCATAAAACATGAAGTAACAAGCATAGTACATTCTTAGTCTGATTACTGTTACACTTGTCATGGTCATGCTAATTGGATCACTCATATCTACATATATATATAGACACATATATGGTTATTTATATGTGGTTATTATATATTTTCATACATTCTCACACATATATGTATCTGGTTATTTTCTTGGTTTTAAGTAGTAAGAGTGTAGGTAATCAAAAGTAATTATATTTGCTGTGAAATACTTGTTTCTGTTAACATTTGAGTTTGATCATATGTCAGTATCTGGTAATGTTAATGAAATTAAACTAAAGATTCTATTCTGAATTTTACATATATCTTTTGCCTCCTCAATTCTTGGGTCTTGGTATGAGAATTTCTAATCATATGTTTTAGTATCATCTTAAAATAAAATAAATTATATTAATATACAAATATAATTTAGTAATAAAACTTACTGGGGAAGAGCTTGTAAACCAATAATTTATTTACCAAAAATAAAGAAATTAAGTCATGTTTTAAAAGCACTTTTCAAATCTAGGTTATGTTCATTAGTTTTGTGGCTTTGCCAAATGGACTAGTTAGTTGAACTAGAGTGAGGATCACTGTGGAATGTTCACTAATGATCCTAATCAGTTTCAATGGTTCCTTTGGGTAGAAATTGGTCATCCCTTTGCCTTTTACCAGTATGACCTTTACATTTAATTATGTTGTTCTCACTTAAATATTTCAATTATTATTTATTCTTTGATTCAACCATTACTTTTGAGTATTCACTGTGTGCTAGATAATATTGTTGGCAATGAAGTTATAATAGTAGTCAATAATCCTATATAATAAAGAACGAATATGCAAATGGTTGTCACGCCCTCACACCATCACATCGTAATGTTTCACACTCAACACTGGGGAGAGAGGAATGGGGACCAGCCAGGCTATGGCCCAGGAGAGGGACAAGCCTCCCACCCTGCGGTCCCAGGCACCAGCACCTGTGCCTGTGGCCTGGGAGAGGGACAAGCTGCCCACCCTGTGGTCCTGGGCGCCTGCGGCTGTGGCCCAGGCGAAGTCACCCTCCCACGGTCCTCTGTGGCTGCGGCCGGCCCTGGGTGAAGCCGGACCAGGTCCTGGGTGCCTGCAGCCGGCCAGAGGGAGGGAAGCCTGGGTCCTGGGTGCCTATAACTGGCTGGAGGAGGGAATCCTGGGTCCCAGGTGTGGGGCGAGGCAGAGGTGGTTAGGGGCGATCAGGCCAGCAGGGGAGCAGTTAGGGGCGATCAGGCCAGTAGGGGAGAAGTTAGGGGTGATCAGGCAGGCAGGCAGAGGTGGTTAGGGGCAATCAGGCAGGTAGGCAGGCAGACGAGTGGTTAGGAGCCAGTGGTCCTGGATTGTGAGAGACAGTCAGACATCCCCCGAGGGGTCCTGGATTGGAGAGGGTGCAGGCCTGGCTGAGCCCCCCCACCATGCATGAATTTTGTACACCGGGTCTCTAGTTTTTAATAAAAATAAATAAATATTAGTGCACTGGACCTCTAGTATTAAAATAAGTCTTTACTATTAGAGAGTCTTTACTCTACATGGCCAGAAAGGTATCAGAACTTATAGCAGAATTTATGCATCTGCACTGATTAGTCAGAAGAATACCTTTCTTTCATTTGTGGTTTCAGTCATATATCAATAGGTAACTAATTACTTGCATAGGAATATTAGAATACTGACGGGTTTATTTTGTTTTTGTACCCTGTAAGCATGCTGGGAATATTAAAGAAGCTGCGAGATGGATGGATGAGGCCCAGGCTTTGGACACAGCAGACAGATTTATCAACTCCAAGTGTGCAAAATATATGCTAAAAGCCAATCTGATAAAGGAGGCTGAAGAAATGTGCTCCAAGTTTACAAGGGTTTGTACAGCTAATATTCTTACTTAAGAATAAACAGTTCAGCCCTAACCGGTTTGGCCCAATGGATAGAGCGTCGGCCTGCGGACTCAAGGGTCCCAGGTTCAATTCTGGTGAAGGGCATGTACCTTGGTTGCAGGCACATCCCCAGTAGGAGGTGTGCAGGAGGCAGCTGATCAACATTTCTCTCTCATCGATGTTTCTAACCCTCTATCCCTCTTCCTTCCTCTCTGTAAAAAATCAATAAAATATATTTTTAAAAAACCAGTTCATACTTGTATACCTTACTTATTTTCAAAGTTTGGTTCTAATATATATTTAAAATATATATATTTTTATTGATTTGAAAGAGAGAGTGAGAAAGAGAGAGAGAGAGAGATATGAATGATGAGATAAAACCATTGATCGGCTGCCTTCTGCATGCCCCTTACTGGGGATCGAGCCTGCAACCCAGGCATGTACCCTGACCTGGAATCGAACTTTGAACTTCTGGTTCATAGGTCAATACTCAACCACTGAGCAATACTGGCTGGGCATTTTCTAATATTTTTAACATCAAAATAGGATTTTAATTAAATCACCTTATCAACAAAAAAACAAATCAATGTTAGTATAAAACATTATTACCTTTTAGATGGTTGTACAATGGGTTTTTTAACTCTGATTTATATTGATGGATGTTCAGATTAATTTTTTTAGGGCTGAAGGAAATTAATATAAATCGAGTACCTGCTATGTGCCTAGTGTTCTGTTTCTTAAGTTACTCTCCAACCCCAATTATATAGATACTAGAGGCCCAGCGCATGATTAAATCGTGAGCGTGTAGGGTCCCCTAGGCCTAGCCTGCCATCAGGGCCATGTCCACCGCCCCCAACACCTCGCATGCTCCGTGGACGCTCCCGCCCCTTGCCCTCCACCAGATGCCAGGTTCCCACCTTCCCTGGGCCTGGCGTTCACCCACTTGGAGGATGCCTGTAGGCAGCAGCCCCATTGAGGAGCTGCTCTTGGTGCCCTCCCCTTTGGCCATGACCTGCAGGCCACGCCATCTGGTATCGGGATGCCGGGATGTCCTGCTCCACTGGCCTCTGCTCCGCCTGGGTTCGGGTAGTAACCGCTGCTGCCACCACAGTTGCCGTGCAAGAGTAAAGCCGGCAGGCTGGTGGCACACTCGAGTGCACACTCCCTTACACTCCCCCTCCCACCTCTCAAAGGTTAGCCCTGCTCTGTCAAATCCAATCAGTCCGGGAGCTCTGCTACCCCACCTCCAGCCATCCGCTCGCCCCACCGGCCTCACCCCCCCCCCCCCCCCCCCCCCCCCCCCCCCCCCCCCCCCCCCCCCCCCCCCCCCCCCCCCCCCCCCCCCCCCCCCCCCCCCCCCCCCCCCCCCCCCCCCCCCCCCCCCCCCCCCCCCCCCCCCCCCCCCCCCCCCCCCCCCCCCCCCCCCCCCCCCCCCCCCCCCCCCCCCCCCCCCCCCCCCCCCCCCCCCCCCCCCCCCCCCCCCCCCCCCCCCCCCCCCCAACTGCCTTCCCAACCACCCTGGAGGCTCTCAGTCTTTTGAGCTGAACCTTGCAACCCAGTGAAGGCGGGGAGGGCCACCTGACACACCAGGAAACTGAAGTTCGAGGCTGAGTGTGAGCGCAGCTCCGCTCTGTTCCCTCCCATGGAGCCTGTCCTATCCCTCTGTGACAAGTGCTCAGGTCCCGCCCCTCCCTGAGGTCAAGGGCCTATTCTGCCTCCCTGCCACCGCCCGCCTCCCCCTGCCTCCCACCCTCCC